CAAAAAAAAACTATAAGTAAAACACATTTAAAATAAAACTTAAAATAAAATTAATTCTTTAAAAAAAACTTTTAATTAATAATAAAACTGTTTCATTATAAACAAAACCAAAACAATAATTGCCGCCACGCTATGATACCCTTATTTAACTTTTTTGACACTACTCTTAAATTACGTTATTGCTTATTTAATATTAAGTAATTAAATATTTATTGCTTACACATTAGCTTAATAGCAATAAATATGATAACGTAATTTAAGAGTAGTGTCAAAAAAGTTGACCAAATATTTAGTTAATAAGGGTATCATTGTGTGGCAGTCATTATTGTTTTGGTTTTGTTTGTACTGACAGTTTTTTTACTACAATTACATCAAAAAAGTCCAGATTAAAGGTTCATACTTTAAAGATATTTTAAAAATTGATTATCATTTAAATTAATTAAATAATTAAAAAATTTTAATTAATAGCTGTACATGGTAATTTTTTTATATAAAATTAAAATGTAGTTTTATAAATATAATTAAAAATATATATTTCTTTTTTAAAGTATTGTTAATATTATAGTTTGAGTAGAATTTAATTTATTTCTATTGATTTAAAAGTTATTTTAATTCTTCTATTGTTACGGTTTAGGTTAGGAGTGGAAAGGGATCTAATTGTGATCCAACCGACTCATCTATTTTTGTTTGATTTGGTATTCAAATTAAAACAATGATGTCTTAATCAACCGATAAGATAGACATCGAGGGTCACTATAAAACCAATACTTAAATATTAACATTAAGAATACGGAGTCAACTATTTTGTTGACGATTTGAATCAATAATTGATTGGAGAGACCATCCGATAGATATTCAAAGACTTGTCAGATAATAGATGTGATGACTGAAGTAGTGGTAACCAAGTGGTGGACAAATAGATGATCCAAATCTTTGTTCACAACTGTCAGGTAATGATAACTCGATTAACATTCAATTTTTGTGTTTATTATTTGATTTTAATGTTTTATGTAATACAAGTGAAATCTAACTTTTGGTATGAGATATGTAGGGTTCGGTCAAATTCATCCATCGTTTTATATTTTAAAAGTTCCTATTTTTCCCGCTCTCTGGAAATTTCTAGGGAATCTATTTCTTTGTGTTACTACTTTTTGAACTCTAAACAACAAATTTTATTATTAGATTTGAATAACAAATGTATTAAAGTGTTAGTGTTATTAAAAATAGTACTAAATTTACTCAATTCAAATTGATTTTTAAGTATTTGCAAATTATATGCAAAATATTTAATTTTTGGTACTATTTTTATTGGAAAAATATAAAATATCTTTTCCTTTCTAACAATGAAAGGGAGGAAAAAATAAAATATTATCCTATTTTCCAGTAAATTGAAGGGATTTTTAAATGGAGTTTTCGTCAATTGGAAAGTTGTCTCAACCCTATAGATATGTAATGCATTGACTAATGAATATAGTAGTTGTTTAGTATTTATAGTGGAATTTAATTAACAGATATATAATTGAAATATAAAGTATTGATTGGACTATTTGAATGGTATGACTGTTATATAAGTGAAGATCTGTTCACTGATGTGCCAGTGATTAGTATCACTGAACGGTAGTTAACATCAATTGGATTAAAATAAATTGTAAGGATTAATAAAATACACAGAAATAGGTATTATAAGGAAATCAATAAAAATAGTTTACAAAATTGAAGGACAGGTCAATGTGTTCAACAATTTAAGTTAATTAATGATTTTATATTTTGTATTATAATTTTATTTAGATTTATTAAGTTTTATATTTTGTTTATTTTAGACAGTCTCTAGACATTATTTTAAATTATAATTATTATAACTTTATTAAAAGTTATATTTAAAAACAAAATTAATAAATTGATAATGAATCAAATATTACTTAAATTTAAAATAATTATATTTAAGTTACGGTATTATTTAATTTGAATATTATTTACAATAACTTACAATAAATTATAAATTAGTCATTTAAATATATTATATATACATTTTTGTGATCATTAACTAAGTAATAATCAAAATAAATATAATTTTGATTTAATTTTGTTTGACACTATTTAAATTAAAAAAAATACTATACTTATAACTTTATGTAAAAGTTTAATGATTATTTTTGTCAGACACTTCAATAATTAAATATAAATTTTGTAAATTAATTAATTCAAAATTAACTTAATTAAATGGCTTAATAAATAATACTAAATAAACAAAAATTAAACTTAGGTTTTTTAATTAATAAAATATTATTTGATTATTAAATTTTAATTATAAATAATTGAATGCAAGTCTATAGAGTAGCCGTCTATTGATTTATATTATATTCAGTAGTTTTGTTATAAAGTCAAGAGATGGCGAAAATGCAGTCAATAATTGTGACAAAAAATACTTTCAAATTAAAACAGTATTAAAAGTGTGGAACAGATAGCGTATGCATTGGCAGAGTATTCGCAAAGACAGGTAATCCAGTGTTAGTTTATACTAAATATCTGATAAACAATACATTGAATTTAAAAATGACATAATTGTAGATAATATTAAACTCAACAATATTGTAATGTATTGTATTATATTGTATTATATTGTATTATATTGTATTATATTGTATTATATTGTAATTGGTCATTTTTTATTATGGTAATTGTAAAATTAACTAGATAAGTCAACTATACTATGTCGATGCTATTATCTAGTTAATTTTACAATTAATAAAAAATGACCAATTACAATTACAATTACAATTACAATACAATACATTACAATATTGTTGAGTTTAATATTATCTACAATTATGTCATTTTTAAATTCAATGTATTGTTTATCAGATATTTAGTATAAACTAACACTGGATTACCTGTCTTTGCGAATACTCTCCTAAATGTATACGCAATCTGTTTCACACTTTTAATACTGAATGAAAACCACTTCATGACTGATCAACACTCAAGAGTCAATCAAAGACATAATTGAAGATATTTTTACATTATTTGAATATTTTTTTGCAATTTGTTTTGTTTTAATTTATGTTTGACTTTACTTTATTAATGTAATGTCTTTTACATTACATGAATTTAATTACTTTATGTTTGAAAATCTTAACTAAGATCTCAACTTATCTTTTGTCTATAAATAGGTTAATCTATTTTTTATAATAATTAACAAAATTCATTGTTTATCACAAATGGTTAAAATTATTGTTAAGCTATGAATCAACTTTTTAATGATATTGAAATGACTTACAATAAATTGCATAAAATATTACAAACGATAACCACCGATGATATAAATATATATAATTAAACAGTTTCTTAATATTTCTAATCAATAATTGTTTTTATATATTTAACGCAAATTTTAATCAATTTAATTGTTAATTCATTACAATATATATTTGATTAACTTTTGGCACATGTTTAATATCAATAAAATAATTATTGTTATTATAATTACAATTAAAATTATTAAATAATGTATGATTTAGAGACCAATTACAATATGATATAAATATAATTATAATAATGTGAACAGTTATTTGTATTTTATTATTATAATAATGACTATAATAAACAATTATATATATATATGTATAAAATGACAAAATTAAGTTAAATAAAAATCAAATAAAAAGTTTAATAATTTATCTGATATGACATATAAAGGAAGCACATAATCGATCGATAAATTACTAAACCTATTAACAGGTCTTTTAATTATACAGTTGTTTATACTGTATATCATTTTTATATAGACATTTGAAACAATATACACTAATGATTAATACTATTATTTAATGGTTTGAAAAATTTACATCATGTCTAAAAATATTTAATATGATATATACTGTATATATATAATATTGATAGATAAATGAAATTATTATTGTTTAAATTAGACACTTGTTTTTTATCAAATAATTAATATTAAATTATACCAGAGATGACCAATGCATTTGATGGCAATTAGTTTGACGGTGCGAGTGATGACAGCAGGAAAGTCAATCTATATTAATGAAACACCCGGTGCTAAATCATATTACTTAATATTGTAGTCTTTGATTTTGATTGTTTTCAGTTTAATATATTACTATCACTATTATTTCTATACTGACATATAAACCATTAATTAATCGAAAAAAATTATATTGTGACGGGATATTAAGGCATTTCTAGATTGTTTGTTTTAATTTATTTAATAATTATATTTCTGTCTTAATATAAACATTTACTAAATATGTTTTATTTATCTAATAATAAGTTGCTAAGAAAAGATAAGTGTTGGGTATTTTATTAAATCTTGATTGAAATTACATTATAGACTAATGATTTAGTTGTCAGTATAAAAATAAATGTAATTAACTTTTAATAACTCAAATAATGTCGATATTATATCAATGATATATTTTATATTGAAATTCTTAAATTTCTTAAACAAACATTATTTTAGTTAAACTAACTAATAATAAGATACTCTATTATTATGACCATTACATTGCATTATTACTGTATGTCTAATTAATTTTGTGTAACTTATAAACGACTATTTTGTTTGGTTTTATTGACTGACTTTCATAGCTGACAATTGTGAATAATTATGGCATAAGTATAACAACTTACTGTATATACATTTTTATAATGTCGTGTTAATTCTGTATCTAATAACTAATCTATGTTTTATAAATATACAATTAAATAATAAATTTATAATTACTCTAAATAATATTAATTTTTGTGTTTTTACATATACAGTTTGTTTATAATATTAATTAAATTAATAAGATTTAATATATTTTATAAATTATTTTCATATTTTTACACAAAACAGTATATAAGAAATCTTAAAATATGATTAAATATATTTTATTATAATTATGTCATAATTATTATTTTAAAAATTCAGAATATTGTTATTAGTCATCTGAAATAAATATTATATTATATTAATTATTATTTTAGCATTTAATTAATTGTTGATCAATAGTCTAATATTTAATGATTGCGATGAGTATTTGGTAAATGAGTTTTGTTTCATAAGTTAAGGCGTTAGCGCAGCACTTAAGACACGAATAATCGCTGCAATCGATGACAATGTCTTATCTGAAGATTTGCAATCATTTTTATGACACGTCTATCCTTTTATCAGCAAAATTCTTGGCATTAATTCCATTGATTCCATTCTTGTCATTACAAGAATCCATAATATTATTGAAGACATTATTCTCTATTTTCTCTAAACTCAATGATTTATTTTCATATCGATTATGACTACCAGTGCTCGCAATAGAAGACTTTTGTTTATTTAATGTTAATTTATTTGTTTGACTGTCAACACCTATTGCACTGATACCCTCTTTATCGTTGACATCGTCATCAACGATACCATTGTTTTCATTTATATCGTCGTTGTCATCAAAAGCAACGGATGAGTTATCTCTATCGGTGTCTAACTCTTGATCCGCAATTCTCAAAGATCTGGGACTTCTTGAGTCACTGTCATCGCTATCATCTTTTATGTCAAAGTCATAGCTATTGCTAAAAGCATTGCAACCATTTGTTTGTTGATCTGATCCGGCATTCTTAGAGGTCGAACAGTAACTACTGTTACTGTTATTAGAAATATTACGAATTGTCTCATCACTTGTTTGACTACTTGTAGACAACTGTCCGACAGTCGACATGTTAGGCGATAAACATAATGGCAAAGGTTTCGGACTATTACTGGAATTGTTTGCAATGTTTTTGGATTTATTAGATTTGCTTTTACTAGAAGACGATCCCTCTTTTGGTCGTTTATCTGCTCCAACCTTATAATCTGCGGCTTCAGTATTGGATATGCCGTCCTGTTTCTTCCATTTGGTTCGCCGATTCTGGTCATCAATAATAAGCACTTTATTAGTTATTTATGTTTTTATTATACATCATTTCAAAACTCACCTGAAACCATATTTTGACCTAAATTTAAAAAAGATAAGAAAAATTGAGTTATTAATCATTTTATTCATTCATATTATCAAATAAGTAATAAAATTCTTTAAAATAGCTGTAAATAAAATGTTAACTCTTTAAGTGTCATTAAACAAGAAAAGGAAAAGCATTTTTCAGCAATAATTTGATGTATTTTTCATAGAAATGCTAATTCAGAGAAAAGTTGTCTCTAAATAACTGGTTAAGTGAAGTAAGTGTCGGTGCGCTGTAAGAGAATCGCTCAAACATTTAGGTGGAGAGCAATGACTATAAGAAATCACACATTAAATGGGTTTCTCTTTGATATTGATTTTGTGTTTCAATTGAAATGATCTCAAGTCTCACAACTGCTGGCGCTTTGAAAAAACTCTTTTATAGTTAATACTCTCACAGTCTCTCTCTTTCTCTCTCTTTTAATGTCTCTCTTTCTGAGATTTATCACTCAATGCTTAATATTTTATTTATTGCTTTTCATTCCAATGACTTTATTTGAAGATTCAATAATCCATGAGTTACTCACAAATAGTTATAAACTCTTTCAACAAAAAAGCGATAAATTATTTTTCTTTTGTATTCTTCCAGTGATTCAAATAATCTCAATGTTTGACTCAATGAATAACACAAACCGTTATTTTTTGGTTCCCAAAAATTACTTTAAATATGTCATCAAAATATGTAATATTTATATATATTAAAAATATTGAATATAATCTTAGAATGATATATAACTTAATTATACTTTGAATATTTTACTATTAGATTGCGGTATTTTGCAATTATTTATAGACAAATAGTTTCGATAAATAATTATTATTTTATAATGAATGACTCAAATATAAAATTGATTTATAAAAAAAATCTATATATGCAATAGTATTATTAATAGTTTTATTATATAAATATAAAAATGAGAATAAAAATAGAAAATGAAGTCAAAAATAATCATAAATAGAAGACAACAATATTTACACATTTTTTGTTTGAATGATAAAACTATAAGTTTTTTTGCTTTTATTTAACGCTCAAAAAAAGAGAAATCTGGTAACAGTAGTAAAGGAAACAATATGTTAAATATATGACAATAGCGGCGTAACACTGCCTAACACTTATTGATAGTGTAACTCAAATATCACTGCCTTTCTTGTAGAGCACAGCCCTAACACACATAATCATTATATGAGTTTTTGGCGAACAAATGTATATATAAAGTAAAACACAAATATAAAAGTGATATTTTCATTGCACATATAGATACTGTATATACTCTAATATACAATATATTATATTGAAGTGTAGTCTCATATAGTAAACGATTGAACTCAAAGACAATTTTACTTTACTTACAGACTATGTCTTTGTCTTTAGTATTATTGATAAAATAGAAACCAATACTATATTTAAGTTTACGCCACTATTCCTAGATCTTAGTCTCCAAACAACGAATTTGGTATTTGTTAAGAAAATATCTCAAATATAAAACATAAAAATAGCTGTATTTTCAGCATTTCTTGTCTTGTATTTTCTATAACTATTTTAAAAAGATTTTTTTAAATTTGTATACAATATAAGATTTTTTTAGGAGAAATAATAATACAATAATATTATGGAAAATAAAGTTTAAGTAATATAGAGAAATAAGTGAAGAATAAAAGGATCACTTGAGACCTGAATATTCATTCATATGTTTGTTTAAAATATTGTATTTATAATACATTAAAATAGAAAATTCAGTGTTTATGCCATTGATTGCAACATTAGTTTCAAACTATAGTAAGGCATTGCTTTGGTTGAGTGTTGTTTGACTTAATTATGTTTTGCCTCAACTCTGCAATTGAGAGTAAATAAGTTAAAAGAAAGACTTTTCTATAATAGTATTATATTATTATAACTGTAAGTCTTGTGATTCTAAAGGAAACATTTGCTTCAATTTAAGTGCCGAGTGTTATATGTGGTGCAGTAGTACGGTATGTATGCGCTCAATGGCACCGGCAGCTGAACACAGGAAAAGCCACAAAACATAAGTTAACATATAATATATTGATTACTGATTGTGCTTTAGATGAGTTGCCTTTTATGACCCACTTTCTCACTGTTATATTGTATGTATGACTTATACATTGACTTTTTCTTTATATGTGCTAACATTTAATCCTTTATAAATACAATCAAAAAGAAAACTCGATTAACATTTGATTTTCTTCACATAAATAGTACCAAAAAAGTGCATCAAATTCTCAAATGTAAACCAATTATCATTAAACGCACAAATCAATTATCATATAATATACTCTATATAAATACATTACCAGTTTTTGCACTTTTTTATTAAATAAGTCTTACATACTATTAATTATAATAGTATTTATCTTTATTGTTTAATTTCAATATAAAAAAACTTTAATTTTAATTTTTTAAATTTTCTAAATATAAATTTTCTTAATCAATACTTTTAAAAATTTATTTTAATTTTGGACAAGTTTTTGATAAATTATAGCTGATATAAAATTTATAAAATATCTTATATGTTATTCTTGTATATGTAACGCACAAATTTTATCTAAAATATATTATTTTTGATGCAAAAGATTTTTTAAAAATATTTAAACAAAATATCCATAAAATATCAAATATATTTATACACACTATATTAAGACTATATATTTATATGGATTATAAAACTTAAATTATTTTACAAGAATCAGAAACGGGAATAAAAGTAAAATACAAATAATAGTTGTAAAGTAATAGTTGTGATTCAATAGTGGGAATCAGTGGTGCATTTTGAACGGCGAAAACATTTAGCTCCTGTTTTGACTGTCACTTACATTCAATGTTATATAAAATTCAAGACATATATATATATTGGAAAAGTGAAGAGAGAGAGAGAGAGAGAGAGAGAGAGAGAGAGAGAGAGAGACTAAATAAGGGAAGAGAAAGAGACATACAATCTCTTTACACGACAACACAGTTCCTGAAGAGTATGTCTGCACTGAATCGATAGCTTCGGGTTAAAGATAGAGAAATGATTCACAAATAGTATGTATTCCTCAATATTACTCTTATATTGGATGCCATACTTTTGTCGCTCAGTTATATTAACGGCAGACAATCCTCACAACATAGAAAATTGCAATAAGAGATCAAACAAATCTATAAGAGAGCGAAAGAGAAAGAGAGAGAGAGAGAGAGAGAGAGAGAGAGAGAGAGAGAGAGAGGCTTACAATAGTAATATAAACGCTTTAAGTAAAACATATGAGAAATGGAAAAAATGAAAGCAAAATATATATAAAAAATAGATTTAAGAATATAAGACAATATAAGATACAATGAGAGATATTTTGAACATAAAAATTGAGAGAGACATACAATAGTAACAATTTTATTAAATATTTGTGTTAAACATTGTTTGGCATAAAATAAGTAACAAAAGACTGATTATTAATAAAAACAAATTTTTTGTAATTTAAAAAATATCAAAATATGCAATTTAAGTAGTTTTACATAAATTTAAATTATTAACTTGAAAATATTTGTTTGTTTAATTAATATGTAATTGTTTATTTAATAAAAGTTTAAAATATAACTAGAATATTGATTATGGTGAGTTAATAAAATTGTTTGTATTAATTAATACCATTAATTCATATTCTAAATATACTGTACATTAAAATATAATTTTTTAATAAAAATGCATAATTTTAAAGACTTAAACTTTGATAATATGTGTAAATATAAATACATACTTGAGTTTCGGTGACATTCAAAAGCTTAGCCATATCTGCCCTTTCAGTTGACGACAAATACTTTTTAACTTCAAATTGTTTTTCGAGTTCAAAGATCTGTCGTCCGGTGAAAGTAGTTCTCGCTTTCTTTTTCTTTGATTTATCACTACTATTGTTACCCGAATCGTTGGCACCGGTATTATCAGTGACCGACCCATTTGAGTCGCCTACTGATGACGGCGACTGTAAATTGCAATCAATGCCAATGTCATCGAAGACATTATCACTACAGGAATGTATAGAATTGACAATTGATTTCTTTATAGTTTTTATCGATAAATTTGTGGTCAACTCTAGGGGTAAATCAGTTGAAAGCACTTCTTTTGTTGACTCAAGTGTTGACTCTTTTTTACGTTTAATTCCTTTGCCATTCTTCTTGTTGTTTGATATTTTGCTATTTTCGAGACACAAATCTGTTGATATAATAATTTAATATTTAATACTTTATAATAAAGTTTAAATTGAACTATAGTTACATACTTTAAAAATAATTAATATCTAATTAATTATTGTATATATTATAAAATTTTTTATAAGCTATAATACAAATAAATTAAATTTAGTCTTAGTTTATTTATATTTATTATTTTAATTTAATTCTAATTTGTATTTTAAATTGAATTTTATATTATACTTTTCTTTGATTTTTCGCTACAATTGTTGACCAAAACAATAGCATTAGTTTTGTTAGTGACCGACCCGTTTGAATCGGCCACTGATGATGACGAGTGTGAATTGCTGTCTAAACCAATGGCATCAAAGACATTATCACTACAGGAATGACTGCAATTGACAACAATTGATTTTTTTATAGTCTTTGTCAATGAATTTGTGGTCAAATCTAAGGGCGAATCGATCTCAAGTTCTTCTTTTGTTTTCTCGCGTGTTGTTTCACGTGTTGTTTCACGTGTTGTTTCACGTGTTGTTTCACGTGTTGTTTCACGTGTTGACTCTTTTTTACGCTTACTTCCTTTGGTATTCTTCTTATTTGATATTTTTTTATTTTCAAGACACAACTCTGTTAGGATAAAAAGTAATTGTTTACTAAAATTTTTAATACAAATTTAAATAAAGTAAAGTAAAGACTTTATAATAAAGTTGTGTATTATTGACACTCTTTATGAATATAAATTATATATCAATATAAAGGCATAAGTAAAACATTAAAGAGATGTGAGGGTAGACTCAATTAAAATGTCATTAACGACCAGTAATGGTGCAAAAATCTGATATATTTTTAAGGCACATGAGTTTAATGGTTTCAAAAAATTGCTGAAAATGCATAAACAGATGCATATAGACATAAGCAAAAATAAATTATTGCAAACATATATATCAAAGATCATTGCATATATGATGTGATATTATAAATAAATTTATGAAAGTAAGCAAAAATGTTTGTCTATTTTAGTGACTAAAAGATTTTTCTGTGTTTTGGTGAGCAAATCATAGCTGAGATCTGTTACAATATTACTTGAATATTATAGACTGAATCAACTCTAAACTTAATTAACTTAATAAATGCCTATTTATTTATATAAATATTTACCACTAAAAATTGATAAATATATCAAAAATTTCAATCAATTTATACATTGATTATTTTAATGTATTACATTTGATAGCATTGATTCAACTCACAAGTCATTACTATAAACATTGATTTGATTTAATTTAGTGAATCACTGAATGGATATATAAAAGCATAGAATTGAAAGCAATCGATGTCTTCAATGATGATCTGTATATTTAATGAAGTAATCGCTTCAATACATCTCAACTTTTAGCAAAATTCAGATCCAAAACACTTTGAATATATTGTATATAAATAAATGAAAATGTCTTTTGCTTTCATTTCAAGCATTACGAAGAATATTGTATATAAAAATATAAGGAATTTGTTTGAATATATGTCAACAAATAAATACATAAAATATACTGATATAGACTCAGTCAATAATATACATGAATTCAGATATAAATTTGATTCAATATAAATTTGTATAAATTTTGACTACAATTTTGTCAATTCCTAGTTTTGAGCCATCATTTATCAAATATATATAGTAACAAAATTTATTATTTAAATAATAACAATAGTAATAACAACTATCTATATAATTTTTATTATAGCATTTTTATTTATTTTAAATTGTGTCTTACTTTTAGTAATTTTTTAGCTAATAACTATTTTTATTATATAATAATTGAATATAAATTAACAATAAAATGATTATGTTATCTATTGTTATGAAAATTTATATATACTGATTTGCATTTTAAAAAACTTAAATAAAATATTTATATAAACAATAAAATTTTGAAATATCATATAATGATGATGTAGCTAATGTAATCAAATTCTTATATTAATTTATAGTAAAATACTTATAATACTGTATTAATATTTAATATAATATTATTTTCAATATAATAATTTATTTCAAATTATTTATATTAAAAAAGATTTTGGATATTATTTATGAAAATCGGTCAAAAGTTTTATAGATAATATAAAATAAATGCAGCATAAAATCAATTTGAAAAAACACTGTTTTAGGGGAAAAAACTTTTTATCATTCAATGAATTTGCGACTGCAGTCAAAAACTCCGGAGATTTAAAACTCATTGGTGTTATCAAAACGTTTGGGTAAATGACAAGTTGTTGCCAATGAAAATGCATTACACAAAACATGATATTTTACATGAATTCAATGTTTAGTTAAAATCTGTACATTTTATTTAAATGTCTTTTATCTCAATATAAACTGTTTTATATACTGTACCTGTTATGCAAAATGGTTGGCAAACATATTTAGCATACATTTAAATCTGTTTTTATAATTAAAAAGTGATAAAAACATGTCAAAATAATATTTAAAAATAAATATATAGACTGTAATTCAGAGTTTTTATTTGCTATGAATTTATATATACTGTATATATATATATTGTGAATGTAATGCAAGTATTTGACTTATTTAAAACATACATTTAATAGTCATTTAAATTAGACTTGAATTAAAATTCATATTAATATTGTAAGAATTATTCAATATATTTTGTTTTATAGTATTGTTTATATTGTATATGCATTGTTTCTCAGCATAAAATAGAAAAATAAAATCTTTTAATTCTCTTATTTTATCGTTTTATAATGTATTATACTGTAGTATACTATAAATATAATCTACTTATATGTGTTAACCAATGAAACATATTAAGTTAAAATAAAATAGAAATTGATAAAAATAAAATAAGTCATTGTAAATAATTTATGTAATATTTTAGAATAAAGTTTTACATTATAAAGTTTTATAATTTATATATTAAATGAATATACTGTATGTAATAAAATATAAAATTTTGACAACAAATGTGAATTTATGTAATTATTTTGTCAACTCTTTATTTTGAATACAATAAATCTCTTGACTTCAATTAATATACGTATTTTAATAAAAAATATGACTTATTTAGCTTCATATATCATTATTGGTTTAATATTACTATAATAATATGTAATAGCATATAAATATATATATATATATATATATATATATATATATATATATATATATCTAATTAATTTAATTATATTAATTTCCATTTGATTTTTTGTAAATCAATATTAAATTTTAACAAATTGTCTAAATTTTATAAATATATTTCGTTAAATTAATTATTTATGTTAATTAAGTATTAAAAATTAAAATATAAGAATTATTTATATATATACAGCTTAATATTTAACTGTTATTTGCTTAAACAATAACAATTTATGAATATTATATAAATATAACAGTGTAACTTAAGCGTTACTTAAATTAAAAATTTTGTACTATTATATAAAAATTATTTAAAGAAAAATAAAATATTTTATTTATTAATTGTATGATATTGATATTAAATTTATCTTATACTAAATGTTTTTAACTATAGTTAGTTAATTGATTTAACTTTTACTTAAAATATATGAAGAAATATTTTATATTGTAACTTACTTAATACTATATACTATATATAATATTATATATTTCATTTAATAAAAGGGAATACAAATATTATTTTTATAATTTTAACTGATTTTCTTTAAATGTTTTATAACGTTGTTAGATATACCGCAATATATTTTATCAAATAAAAGAAGTTTTATGAGTATATATTACTTTATGATTTTTTACAGCCCTATTAATGATGATCACATTATAGCTAAATTAATAAGGATTAGTTATTCTATAAAATTAAAAAACTAATTTTGTTTTGTCGAAATATGTTAATTTTTAATATACTTATTAATTATTTCATTAATTTTTGATTTTAAATAAATAAGCATTTTTCTAACATTTTGTTGAACACAAAAAAATATAATTACGATTATGCTTTGAATTCATATTAAGAGTTATCATACATTGTCATAATTGTAATTTAAGTTAAAAACAAGTAACAAATTGAGGTTTTAAAAAAATTTTCAATATTATAATGTGTTGATAATCTACGTTACAATTTACTTCTTCAAGTTTGGAAATTATTTTATGGATTCCCTTTATATATATATTAAAAACTTTTTTATTCATAAGTTTATATTAAAATTATCGTTGAATATTGTATGTAATAAACAATATTTGTTTTACAATAAATATTAAAACTGATAAATTGACAATAGAATTATATTTAACTGTTATTATTGTACAATAAAAAAATTATGTATTGATAAAAAATATTATAATAAAAATGTTTTACTATTGTATTTTTAGATAATGTATTATACTTTATATAAAATAGACAATATATTATATTGTATTGTAAGTATAATGTATTGTAAATTTATACGCAGTATTAATTAATAAATGAACAATTATTGATAGTAATTGATTAGTAGTAAAATAAAATATTTTTATTTCATGATAACTTTAATAAATATAAGTTTTTAATAAATGTTAGCAAACATATTTTAAATTAATAATCAATGCATAAGATAATGCTTAAAATTATGTATATTTTATTCTCTATATATATATTGTAGTAATATATCGGCAAAATTGTTTGCATTGAATTCATGGCACGCACTGCACTGGTATTACATGTGATGGCAAACCAAATATAATAGTAAAACACTGCTTTTGCATCGATTAACAGTTTTAACACTAAATCTATGTTCACAAACATAACAAAACTTTTATGATAAGACAGAAACTCATTTTGATACCAACCAATCACTTCATACAGTTTTAATTATTAAGATTTCATTTTAGTACCGGTATATTATGAGAGGTCATTGAGTTTAAAAAGTAATAAAACATTAAAAAACTATTTTGCAACTATTAATACATCAGAATTTGTTACATAAAGTATAACAATTAAAATAATATAAATATGTTTATTATAAAACATTACTTAATTATATAAATTATGATTTTATTTGTCTATAAATTTATTATTATGAATTTAATAAATATTAAATACAATTTTAACAATATTCTAACAAATAATTTAAGTTTATTGAATTGTAAACAAATTTTATCAATAAAAGTGAAGTCATATTTATAGCAGAATATTTTTCAATTTATTTTTTATTTTTATAAGATTTATTGAATATTATATTTTAACTAAATAATATTTAGACAGAAATACACAAAAAATTAGTGTTTATATAGTAATAAAACCTCATTATATTTAATAGCCATATAAAGTTACCACCCATTTAAACCAATTTATATTTATTCTGTATATTCACTATAATTTGGCGTTTAAATTGAAATTGATTTATGTGTGTCTCAATTATGAACCAAAATCTGATGATTCAACTCTTGTTTTTCTCATTCATTCATTCGACTAATATATTTATCAATGTATGTATGTATGTATGTATGTATGTATGTATGTATGTATGTATGTATGTATGTATGTATGTATGTATGTATGTATGTATGTATGTATGTATGTATGTATGTATGTATGTATGTATGTATGTATGTATGTATGTATGTATGTATGTATGTATGTATGTATGTATGT